AGCGTCCCGTTTCGTATGCTGGTAAGCATGCCAAGGCCCCCGGCGCTTTGACCTTCAAGTTTCTTCTCTTCTGTGGCGACAAAAAGGAAAAGAGGAACCTCTCAAAAATTCATGCAGTTATTCACTACATCATGTTAACCACGGGAGATTTAGTACTAACTGGAATCCACCAGTGCAATTCCTGAACTAGAGCAGACCAATGCAAATCTAGGCCTCTTTTAAAAGTTTCTATATAATTACATTCCATTAGTGCAGGGGAAAGTAACTTTCAACTACCTACTACGAGCTTGGTGGCAAATTTAGCCCGGATATCTAGTGTTTACCCATGATTCATGAGCTTCAGTTGGTGTCTCCGCAGGTGGTCCGACATAGCTAGTTCAAACAGATCGGTAGACATAATGCCACTGTGACACTTCACCATCTTAAACCGCTCTATCAGTTCTCCCCTTAGTCTGCGTTGTTCCCGTGACAGCAGACCTAAACGATCTAGGCCGTCAACATGCGACTTTTCACGCCTGCCTTCAGTCATTCTGGGGGCCAGTCTTGTACCTTCTCTAAGCACGCGACATCTCGAAAATAGCCTGCACAAGCCTGAACACAATAATCTAATTGCCATGACCTTGGTTTGTTTCGCGGCACACCAAACGAGACTCTCGTTAGGCGAAGGCCTGTTTCGTCGCAAAGACCTGACCTGACCAAGCTAATAGAGCTTCGGCTATTTCATGCTTCGATATCTTGAGATCTGATAATGGTAACCGAGCCATGTTTGAGTGATGTGATCAATGACGCTGAAGTCGTACTATCCGGAATGTCTATTCTGTGCAGTAATCGACCGATTAGAGGAGGGGTGCACTAATCTATTAACACAGTGAGCTGACTTTTATTTTCATTGATGACTCGCATGTCTAGTTTGTCCACACGCTTTGGTGTCCTCTTCTCCTAAGTCATGGTGACACATGCTTAGTGGCCATGGTGTACCGCACTCCGTTAGCCACTTAAGAACTGAACAATCGTCTAGCATTCAATATAAAAGCTATCCTCGTGCAATCACACAACCACATTCTCAGGGTAGGCGACTTTAATCTTCACGCCCTAGAAATCCTAGCCTGTCTCGAGGAGAAAATTAAGGGAGAACGGCCTTAGCTAATCATGGGATTACCAATATATAACCACGGTCATGAATGGAGAACAAATCAGGTATCCTCGATCTCGTGATCACCAAAGACGAGCTTACTATCGAAACGGTATCGATAACTAGTCCTTTGGGCCAAAGCAATAGTTCAGCACCCGTGTTCGGCAATATATGTATATATATATATATAGTTGAAGAGTATTCCCAGAAAACGCTGACGAGCATCAGTTCATTACCGATTACGCTGTTCTGACCACACTCATTAATGCGGCTGATTGGTCCTTTTTGGCTGAACTATCCCCCTATGTCGCCTGGTGGCAGTTGGTTCATCAATTCAACAGGTTAGTAGCTAGTGCTTCGATAAACATCTCACTACGCGCTAGAAGAGTATAGCCATTCATACGCAAAAAGACGCGGAGGTGTATGGTCAAAAGAGATTGACTCTCGAGGAAATATTTTAAGTTACCGGGTTCCGAAACACTGGAAGCCTACAATATCCAGCGAAAGCATTGTGTGAACAAGGTACCCGAGAATAAACTAGAAACAGCAGGATCTAAGTAATAAATTCTCCTCAAAAGCCTAGACATGTTAACCAAATCCGTAACCTGCAACGAGAGATTCCTTCCCTCCGCACACCAAGTGAACAAGTACAAACTACAACAGAAGCGGCCAGTACCCTATGACAGCAATTATCCTCAACGTTCCAGAACACGGCTTCGTAGCCTATGCTGCTCACGCGAGTTATACCATCACTAAGGATTAGACATATCTCGTGCACGTATACAGATGTTCAGAAAAGGCAAAGGTCCTTATTCGAACATCCCCATCCTGGTGTTGATCATATCAGACCAAAGACACAGAAATTAGCAACAATGAAATTAGCGGATCCAATCCAGTTCGTCCAACAATGTCTCGACAAAATTTGTGTTCTCACAATGCGGAAACACGAATCCTGCACCCACATTCAAAAACGGAGTAATCCTGCTGATCCAGCTAACTATCGCCCTCTAACACTTATCCGTTGCTATTCGAAGTAATGGAGTCTATTGTTTCTGAAGCTGTCATAAATTACACGTAGAAGGATGCAAAATCTTAGCAACAGCACAATGTGGATTCCGCCAGAACCGGTCTTGCATCATAAACCTGCTGCTTGCTTGCTCCAATTGGACTGAAATCATCGACAGCGATGTGATAGTTGACGCAGTTCGACCGTTTGAACCGCCGCATCCTCATTTACATGCTTCAGAGCTGTGGAATTGGTAATCCAATTCTCACTGGGGTAAGTAACTTCCTTATTCAGCGACTTCGGAACGTGAGAATATTCAGCGCCAGCTCTACTCTTACCGATGTTCGATGCGGAATGCCACAGAGCTCTGTAGTTGATCCACGCCTATTCCTGATTTAGATAAACGATCTCGTAAGAGTGATTATTTCAATTTTTTGCTATTCGCTAATGAACTCGAGAGGTGGGGTGCAAGGAAAACAACGAGTGACCTTCTAGCGCTTCAGAATAACCTTTATGAGGTATAAACGTGGATAACTCACAACTTGCTTCCTTTCAACTACACCAAGTGTAACACGTTGAGCATATGACGTCAACTTACTTGGGAATACCACCTGGGGATCAGACTTTGTTGCATGCTTCAATTGAATGTGACTTTTTGGAATAGCACAAGAGGCTCTTTGTTATTCACCTCAGGCCCAGAAGGCATCCAACATGCTAACCAACACCTTGCTCTTTTGCGGAGAGTATTCTTGCGCTTTGACCTTTCCAACCTCTCTCAGATGCTCAGTGCCTACAGTAAGCCGTAATCAAAATACGTCATGCACGCCTTGTAGCCCTGGCCAAGCGCGACGTGATTGCATTTGAGTGGCCAAAAAGGAGAGCAACCAATCAGGTAAAGGTTCTCTTTCATCTCCATTACCAGCTGAGTTTGAAAACCCTTTAGGTCTCTAGTGGACAATATCGACGTCTGCGTGTAGATACGATAATGACATTTAATCTTGAAGAATCCAAACCATAATTTTTGTCACCTTCTGAAGCTAAACCACAATAACACCCAGAGAGATCATTAGTTGATTTTAACCACTACGTATAACCAACTGGATTGCGGCCGGAATTTCTGTTCACTTTCTGTGTGCAAACATGGAACGTCCTCCCTACGTAAGATGTTTCTTCCTATCACACGAACCGTAGTCAAAAGATGCCTCGATGATGCAGCCATACATTCGCATTAAGCTATCTAATCCTCCATGTCCGTGCGTCAAACTAGCAGTACAAATCCACCAGCTCAATTTCACTTCAGTGTATCATTTATTAATCGCTGCTACTGCGGAAACTGGATTTACCTAAGCCGTCGGCCAAAGGAACCTGCACACCAGTAAGTTTTGTCAATTCCATTATTTGCTTTTTTCTCACGTATTACGTGCAATCTAACTGCTCAAAATGTTGAGTTCTGTGTGCACGTAAAATTCTTCTTTTCGAACTATTGTTATGCAGCAGTGCAAGTAAAATTTTAGGCGCTTAAACTATCGAAACGCACATCTTTCGATCCCTTTACTTTCCACTGCAAACATCCTACGGGATTTGTTAAGCATCTGCCCATTTGCCATTGCTACATCGTTGTTCATTGGTTGAGTCTATTGGAAAATTAAGAGTGATCGCCTTTACATCATACTTGAGCATAGGTCAAAATATGTTGTGATCCTATTTTAGAAGAAAACGCCTTATTTGATATGGCTCGATGAATTCGATAATAAAATATTTATTCATTATGATGTGGTATAAATCACTGAAGTACCGCACGCGAGAATTAATTATGAGTGTCTCGACGCAAATAATGGTTAGCTCAATCTTCGTGTGAAGGAACTATTTTACGGATGTTCCTGTTTCTTCCGTAGGTTGCGGTAAGAAACAAAAATGCGGATATGTGGACATATGAACTCAAAGGGAAAACACACTTCTATGATGTAATCATTCATCATTATACACGTTAGCTAGAGGTGGAAAATACCTCAGCTACTGCGCCGCAATACAAAAAGGAAGGGAAAAAGTAGCAAAACATGCAACAGTTTCATGCTAGCTGAGCCACCAGTAACCAATGGGCAAGGAGTTGTGTTTTGACTTTTTCTAAGTAAAATGTACTGAAGGTTATTTTATGTGAGCGACGGAAACTCTCAAGGCATCCACACGCTACTCTATTTGCTACACGCTGCTCAAGAAAATACTAATGATGTCACATCGATTGGTAACGAAATGACTGCAACAAACTTGCTAACCTCAGCGAACACTTCGACAGTCACCAGAAAAATACGAGCCACCAATTTTCTCTGTTACTCTTTAGCATGACCACACGCAGAATAAAACCACGAGTTTCAGAAAAAGTTACCGAGCTGCAGACATTAAAGCATCTCTGTTATATCTAAACTTGGATAAATGAGCTTTGTATTTATACAACTATTAATTTTTAATTTAAGGCGTACAAAATTTATTGCGATGACGCGGATATGTGCATCTTAAGTCTAAGCTCTATAGTTACATGTAACAGTGCTTGTGGGCATTTCCGTAGAATATCGGAAGAAGTCTAAAACATTAACTTTAGTTTTCTATAGTGGAACTCAAATGCTTTAGCCTGCAAAGATACACTAAGTTCCTTTGTGCTAGTTGGTCCACTAATATTTCTATTTTGGTTAAAGTATAGTCCTGGCATACCTCTGTACGGAACACGTGTTGTTTGCACAGCGTAGTGCAAGCATCAAATATGTAGCAAGAATCTCTAACTAGCTATGACAACCAATCAGATCACAATAACTAATAGATCGGCAGGCGTCCGCATGAGTGCACGTGTAACCAGTCTAACCTAAGCTACCGGAACAAGTGTCCATTCCACAGTAGTATGAGCGCTCACCGGTTGCAGAGATGGAGTCTCAACTTGTGCTAGTGTGAAAAGCAGGACGAATCGTCAATTGTGCGCCAAGTTTGTAAATTGCGTTTTTCCTTTCCGCTTCTCTACGTTTTGACAGAAATTATAAGCACCGTGCATTTCTTCAGTCTATGAGTATTGGTAAATGTGCACCAAATATGGACCTGAAGGGTTTGTTACAGCATCAGAAGAAGATTCAATCTCTTCCGTCGATTTTGATCTCCACCGTTCCACGAAGCCCGAGGAGTATGCGACCAACACCATCACAAGACAGCCAGGCCGGCTACCATTTCGCGATTGGCGAGATGGCCTATGCGATTGTACCAACGACTGTCACGGATGTAAGTGAAGGTTTAGTTTCACGGTTGCTGCGGTAAGCCATAGGAAACAGTTAAGCTTATATATGATGCAGATAGAGGGTAACTTGACTGATTTTAACCTCATAGACTGGGAACACATATCAAGTATATTTATCCATTAAAGATGAATAATTGCTCACGGTTGCGCTTTGACGAGATGTGTAAAGCGTCAAACTGTTTTTGTACATTGTATGTTCATGCAGACTATGAAAAAACACCAGCTTCCTTTTCCATTAAGAATTGTGTACTGTTCCTCTGATTATTTGGCTTGTGTGGCAGAATTGTTCTTCTGATAGACCCTCCGCACTGATATACACGGAAGCCATCTTGCCTTATCCTCCTCTTGACTTGGTTACTGAACGCTGCACGCTTCTTCTTTCTCCAACTGCAATTATGGGACTAACTGTAACGCGTATGTAGTCGTCCTTTTAAAGAACACACTTGCAGAACACTTACATAATTGTACTAACCCGTTTGCGGTGTAATTAGCCGTCAGCCTTGTATATAAACTATCTAGGTCTGGATAGTAAATTCCCGCATTATTTCGTGTAGGTCTTAGGCTATTGCATTAACCATGGATTGCATTCTCATTATTATAGAAGTGCTCTGAGTGATTGGAGACACTGAATCTAAGTGCATGTTACTTTCGTTGCGTTAGTAGGCAGTACCGATTGTTTCCAAACCTTTCTGAACTCAGTATTGGTAATAGTTGTGAAGTGACAGAGTTCATTTCCGCGGTCTTTTGCGGATTAGTCGGAAGCAGAATCATGGATGAACTTCCATGTTTTGTCACAAACTGACTTGTAACCTAATGCGTACCCAATAACGGAGGTGCCTGTGATAAAACAAAGTGGAATGTTTCATTGCATAGTTCATTACTACCGGGGTATGTAAAAGACTGGTAGTGTTGACAATAATGTGCTGTATGCGAACCCACCAGCGTCCGACGTAGTAAATAGGTTTTGTTCTAAAGTCCAATCAATTATAGTCCTGTCGTCCGTGAAGGTCGACTTAAAACATGTGAAATCTTAACATGCGTGAAGTGCTCAAGAATCAATAACATCGTAGCCTATGTAGAATTAATGCTGTTAAAATTTCTTTGATAAACTATTTCCAAACAGATCCAATGAGGCAGCTTAGTTGTTACACGTCGTTTAATTGAGGGAACCTATATTAGCCCATTGGATTGAAAATATGTTGTATTTAAACTAGCAATTAGCTATTGCATTGCGTTTCATTTAACCTTCCAAACTTAAATCTCTCTACTACAAAATCGGAAATATCGTTGTTTGTACCCAGCGTCTGCATTGATAGATAACGTGTTTCCACATGGAGTTGCATGCCACGCAGTATGGATACGTTGTCTGGTACCTATGGGATGATAATACTACAGTTCCGATCAGAGGATTCGTTCTTCAGTATCTATGACATACTTGTGAGAGTGCAACCTTTCAGTTTTATCAGTGGATACTTGAACAGAAGACGACATTCGGCGAATGAAATGTTTATCACGTTGACCGGCGAAAAAGTAAATCATGATCATATTCAGTTTAGCGAAGCATTCATAACGGAAGCTATGGAAAATGTGGTTCACTCAGCGGGTCTACTAACATGTATAACGAAAAAATATTGTATACTAAAAACAGATGTGTAGAACATATAGGTCTATGTTGCTCCATCGATATGTTATGATGACCAGATACAAAATACTGTCATTTATTGCCTCAAAATTTCAACCTATTTCAGTTGCGTCATGTCATACTCATTTGCGACACTCACGAAATGTGTAGTACACAAAGTATGCGTAGAGGAATTAGCTATATCCCGACACCAATGTAGCATCGCTGTTAATTCGGGTAGAGTATGATAAGTATAACCGAGTGACGCCTACTTGAGACAGTTGCGGAAGCTGATTTATCCTAACACTTAAGGTCATTTTTAAGTCTCAGTGTTCATGTTTTGTCTAATTTAATGTTATGTAGACCCCAGTGTTTTTCCGTTCGTGTCATCATTCGAACATAACAATTCAGTAACGTCGGCAAACACCATGAAAGGAGAAAAATCTAGTGGATAAGACTGGTAAATGGGATTTTAACTATAGCAGTTTATTTACAACCCACATCACTTTTATCTGAAACGTTGAAGAAAATGATTGAAATGCAGGTGTAGGGATTGTAACATAAGGAGAGACAACATTGTTCTATGCGGTAGGTTAAGATTTTAGGAAGCGGTGATGCACTGTTCTGCATGTGAAATCCATTTCCATCAGATGAATTTCAACCTGCGAATTCGAGCTGGTCATCCAGACCCCACTTAGCACGCCTAATTAAATGGTTCAGTTACACGATTCGTTGAAAAACCGATAATTATAGCCTGGAACTCAGCTCAGCTCGTAATCATACTGGACTTAACTAGTGGTTCCATGCATCCAGTGTACTCTGGTACGTATGCCTCTTCGATTAAACAGAAATGCTGCTGTGCTTGAAAGATGTGGGCTGACTCCGTTGATGAAACGGGCCTCCATCCACATGCCTCCCGTTCTTATTCCTTCGGGTTTTCATTGCATATGGGTTTGTTGATAGGGCTGTGTGAGGTACGGCGCTAGCCACCCATGGTCCCACTTTTGGCTCAAATGTGCTGTGACTGTCAGTTGGATGTTGCAGTAATAGGAAGTTACGGAATATGACACTGCCAACCATATTCCTTTTTAGTGATTCTATGAGTTGAAAATTCGGAGCTTCTGACTTTCCTATATCTGGCTTCTAATACATAATATTCTCCGCGTGAAATAGGGTTAGTCTGTGGAAACTGTACAGGCACTTTACATTTAGTTGAATTGCAGTTATTTATTGGCCATTTTATAAGAATTTAAGCACAATCTGACTATCTAGCGACAGGGGCCGACCAACCTTACCAGCCTTGGAGTATCCATCTGACTGTCATAAATTGCCGTTGCCAAAACGTGTAGAGATGAGTGAGAAATCTCGGCACGATGTTGTATAGTTGGGGTTACAGTGGTCCTCTGCATCGCCTAAAGACACGACACTGGACACGATAACTACCTAAGGGACGGTGTGAAGGACTGCACGATGGATTAGTGTGTTGAATCTAACCGTGACGCCATGTTCATGCATTATTATGGGTTGGGCGAGACAAGGAAATTCCGCATACATACGAGCAGTTTTTAAACAACCTCTAGGTATACAACGAAATGCTGATTTTCTTTATTACTTTTCACACAGAAATAAACCCGAGAAAGCATAGTACAGTTACAAGTAACTCCATCATTTAGCGACCGGATGGCTAAAACTATTGAATTCCGGAATCCGTAACAAATAAAATAGATGTTGTTAATCTAAACTCTTTGTTAGGTTGCGCCGCAAACATCAGAGCACTTTGCGCCAGTGCCCGGAGTAATTCGCACCAAAAGAATGAACCAAAGATGCAAATTATAATGCAAAAGTAACTGACAAAACGTTGTATATCTTTATTGCATAAGTTTTTTGGTTATTTACGAAAAGAAAACAGAGAATAAAAGGCGATTTATGAACACAAAACAAAATATCATGCACGGTTAATAATAAGATGAGAGCAAAAGGTTATTTCTGGCCTTTAAACAAATTTCATTTATACCATAAATTAAACAGAGTCACAACTGTGAGAGATAAACATAACAACTTTACTGTTAACATCTATACTGCTCATGGGCCCAGTAACCACACCATGTACACTGATTCCATATCCTACCAAGTTTCAAATCGCTGTAGCCTTCTATGCATCTTAGACGAAAATAATCAGGTTCATCAACAGAAAAACGGAAAACTTTTCTTGTTATGTTCGCTCATGCTCAAGGTGAGATTACTTTGCCTCTGACCTTACTTGTATTATTATTTTCGTAGTCCTGTATTTTCTTTCCAGGCAGCATGTTGTTTATTTGGATATAAGTCATCGTGAAACTCTTGAGCCATCGTTAGCTTTTCTGACTGTTATCTCTGTGCTTGTGGGAAACCCATCAAAACTTGCGGAGTAAACGCTACGACTAACTATAGTTACATAATTACTTTGCATGAAATATCAAAACTATTCCAGAGCAAAGAATTAACTAGCTCAGCTTGATCATCCAAGATGAGATCAGCGGCTAAAATTCTCCCAGAATTTTACAACGTGTCACGACATTCCTTGTGAGAAAAGGTGGGCAAATACTGTAGCACGCTAGCGTGTTCAAAAAGGAGCGTACGGGATACCAAACCTAAATGAATAACCCTCATTACCGTAGTGACTGGTATACACTGATTAATAATAATCATTTTACAAAAGAAAGGCAATATAATGTATCAAACATCAGGTTTGCAAACAAAATGAAATTCCCTTATGTTCGGAAATCTTGGATCAGATTTTGCTTGAAGCAATAGAGCGATGGAATGTGCATAACCTTTCTGCAAGGATGTAAAGTACATGCCTGTGTATGACCCGAAACCGTAGTGGTATTTGCATTCGTTTAGCCAGAACTCTGTTAGCTTACCAGTTTTGTACTGACATTAAAGTAAAGTTCAACAATGAGTTAAGGGCAGTATTCATTTTGTCTTTTAAATCGCTGTAATATACGCGAAAATGAGTGGGGAGTTTGTAGCAAGCAGCATTTAGGTAATGTCAAATGAAGCGTGTACAGTCCCTCGATTCACTTCCCCGAAAGTCAGGACCAATTGCAATAGCCCACCAAACCGTAGCGAGCGGATGAATTTACTCATTTCAGTGTTTCGGGAATAGCGAAGTGCGACGTTCATAACAAAATTGATTGGGTCTCAAGAAATTGGTTTTCAAGTTACGCTAAACACTAGTTGTAGTACAAGGTGGGTCATGAGAATTAATCGACGGATTTTTATCCCTTTTTCCGTATACTCGCCATTGTTCAGTATCCTTTCTACCGTTACTGTGGACTCAGCGGGCGTGCCACCCTTTTGTTTTCCTTTTCTTATCTTTTG